AAGAGTTGTTCTGTGTCAACAATCAGCTAAGCCTCATAATTATAAATTTGTGAGGATCTGGTCAAAGACATTGGATCCAGGAGAATTATAGTGTTTCATAGTGAGTCACTGTAGAATAAAGAGCCCTGTTATTTGTAGACATTCCATATAGTCATAGGAATTTAGGGGTGGATCATGTCTTAGCAATCATATAGTCTAACCTTCAGTTTACAGATAAAGAAACTGAGGCTTAGAACTTATTGTAGGAAATAGATGAAAGTACTTCAATATGTAGCACATCTTCTAAATGTCTGAACATCTTCAATAGCTTCCTATCACTATCCTTGAAATATTCAGCGCAATTATTGTACCCCAAATGTGGCAAGAGCGGCTCTTTATGACAAGACTCATTTATTTATTATATTTTGCATCTTTGGTCTGTCTTATTCATTCCTTCCTTCCTTTCTCTCTCCTTTGTCCTTTCAGTCATTCAGTTATTGAAAGATTTATCCACTGAGCCCTGAAAGCCAGGGTTTCCCAAACCTAGTTATTTAAATATCATTTCCACAATATGTGTTATTATCCAAGGTCTACATCTGTTATTTTGCTTTACCTGTATAACACTTTTACTGTTATTTATTTAACATATTTTTCTAGAACAACTTACTTTTTAAACATACTTGTTTTTAAAAGAAACTTTATGTCACAGTTGCAAATAGAAAACTAATGTCAAATAAATTCATGGTCATCATTAAAATGAATGTATGAAAATAAGACATTCCTATTAATTCTTTGCTTATGAAAGCATCTGAGCCTGAGCCCTGCAGTCTCATTTGTTTTAAAGGGAAATTATAAGTTTGGAAGGAGTCATGTTCATTCTAGCACCAAACTGAGACTCTTTAAATTAATCAGGAGGAAGAAAGAATATTGAAAGGTAAATAGCTTTCTCACTCTATAAATCAGAGGTATTTAGTTCCTGTGTGCCGTCTTAGATACTGCAGGGATATGGATCCCCAATATGGGGAAATAGGGCTTTAGGCAGAACAGGGCCACCTCAGATTTTTGAGCTGGTTTTGAGAGACAAAATTAGACCTATCTGAAGAGGGATAACTCAGGACTGGAAAGGGAGACAGAGGGAATCGGGGAGAATCTTGTGGAGACCATGGGAGAGAGTCCCAGTGTGGCCTAGTCAGTGTGGTGACAAAGAAGAAGAGGGTCCAGATTTAAGAGGGATTTAGGATAAGGCCCCATAGGACTTGGTGCCTGAGGGATCAGGGCAGGGGTCAAGATAAGAGAAGGTTCAACGATGCCTGCCGTGGAAATGGATTGCTTGGGAGACTCTATAAATGGTCATGTGGTTATCCAGCAGGATCATGAGGAATATGTTCAGGGAAGAGGAGGTGTGTATACATATGTGATGACAGAGAGAGGGGAGGATGCCACAAGGGTAGAAAGGGATAAAGCCCCTGTATTGGCACGTGCTGCCTGTCGAGAACCCTTGCACATCCATTAGGCCTGCATTAAATGCTTGTTGAATAAATGGCTGGGTGTAAATGGTCAGCAGGCAATTGGAAATACCTTGCTGAAGCTCAGAGGCCTTCCAAATGCCAGCTAGCTTGGAAGAGATCACTGTGGCCCATAAATAGGTATCAAATACACTTCCATTTACCTACTGACCATTTTAGAAAATTTCTGATGTAATCAGGTAGATGGGTTTAAAGCATGTTAGACTTGTTTACTTTCATAAGATGTTAAAAATGAATCCATTCAACTAAAAGTCATTAAGAGCCCACTTACATAAAGCAATTTACTGGGTACTTTGGGGCATAGAGAGATAAATTAGATACAAACCCTGTTCTCATGGAGCTGGTAAAGATCTAAGATAGATAAAATTTGGGGGGATTTACATTTTGTTAACGTGTGAAGAATTTATTCATGATTTCCAGGAAGCAAATTTAGCCTTAAAAATCTTCCTAGTAATCATAGTTAGTCTGAACTTTGTTGCCATGTATGATAAGAAATTTATTATAGTATATTGGGGTAGAACAACAGTATAAGGGAATTTTTTGATAAACTTAAAAGAATTGGAAGTGAAAATCTTGCCAGTCATTAATAGCTCTTTTTCTTGTGTTGTGCTTAAAATACCCATTTTCCCAACTTAGGAAAAATAAGCTAATTGAATTTTATCTTTTGTATATAGCATAAAATTGCTCTTCTTCTCATCCAAGTATACAATATAGCAATAAATTGGAGCATTGTCATGAAAACCTGTTAAATAATCCATTTTTTATGACTGGGATTTTTTTCTTGGCGTCAAGACATAGGCTAGAAAGCACAGATTTCAGCCTCAGCCTAAAAAAAGAGTCATAGGTTCGAATAAGGGAAAGGACAACAAGCCTAAATGTTGATGCTCCTTCTTTGGTTTCTAGACCCTTCTGTAGAAAGAAGTGTTTTCATAAGACTCAGACAGAATTCATTTCCACAGAGCGTTCTTAATGGCTCCTGTCAGAACAAAACAGCTGGGAAACATATGGTATCCATTTCCCTGTATCACTTGGAAAAAATTTCACATGTAAATAAAGCCAACATAAAAGAGTAGCCCTTTGAACCCACGACCTTATACAAAACATAAATATATTGGTACAATGCACTCGTTGTATTGACCAAGTAAGTCATGAGGCTTTAAAATTTTTATTACATTCTGAGGTGCACATTTTCTAGAAGGCAAAAAAATCAAGGTAATTGGTGAAATATTAGCATATAACACACCTAATAATAAACATGTATTTCAGAAATGTCCATGGATGTATATATTTTTCCCACTATATTTAAAGTTTTTCAGAAAGTTGATGAGTAAAATGAAAGTCATGTAAACGATAAACTCCACGTCCACTATCTCTGCTGTTTTAAATAAGTAAGTAACCATGTGTTCTTGAAAGGAAGAGAGAAAGCCTTGGAAGAAACTTCTGGCAGACATTAATTTTTCATAACTTTACATTTTTAGAGAGAAAAGGACATATAAAAGATAGAAAACTTTTAAATGTATAAGGGACTATCTAGAATTAGTCTTTGCATATTTACCTTTCATAAAGAATTTTAGAAAATGTAGCTCTTACTGGTGATTATCACTCCTCTGAGTTTATTAACAGAATTTTAGTCCCCTGTGAAATTAAGCTGTAAATCCCTCAGAAGGATGCACTTTTTGTATTTTAAAAGATTTAATGTGTTGTGCAAAGTGAGATTCAAATTCACATCCTAGCATTTGTTAATTGTCTACTTTGTGCCAAGACCTGTGTACAGCTAAGAACTAGAGCCAACAAAAGGAAGAGAAACAGCAGTCTAAGATCATCTAGATACCTTCCTTCCCTTCTGGAACATTCTGCATTATATTTTACTTATTGGAGAAAATCCAGCCCTTCCTCCATATCTCATAGTATTCTCTTCTTAGATGCTAAAATACCAGAACCAGAAACATCTCAGTGGTGGACCATGTAGTGCAGACCCTCTGAAGCCTCGTGCAAAACTGTCATTCATTTTGGGGAAAGAAATTACTGATAGTTATATGGAATTCAGGCTCAGAACTCACTCCCTCTCATCCTCATAGCTTGGCTCTGGATCTTCTCTAAATCCTTAGAATACATCCCAGCAGGAATAAGACTGACTAGTGGCCTAAATTTAGGAAACCTTAATAATGTGCATGCCACTTTCACCCCAAGAATCAGCCATAGCCAGGGGTTTTTGCAGAGTCACAGACCCAAGTACACACCTGTCTTAGGTTCTTTTATTCTTTGGTTGTACCCAACAACAAAGAACACACACATGCACATGCTTTTTGGTTAAATACTTCCCACCTGTTGTTGTTCCAGAAGAGGAGAGATACTCTAGCTGGAGGGCATGCCCTGAAATCTCACTCCTTTGATGGAAGATGGTGCAAACTAAGTGACAGGGGAGTAGGAACCCATAAATCAGTGGCCTGCAGTGCTGGGTCATCTGTCATCAAGCAGGGGAGTGTCCCAGAGAGGAAGCAGTATCATCATGGCTGAGAGACTGTTGCTGCATCTGCCTGCCCTGGGAGGAGGCACACGCCACCTCTTGTGAGGCTAACTGGGAGAGGTGGTCGTTCTTATCTTTCACCTCCAGATGTGTCTGGTTGTTTTACTTTCCACTCCATCTCCACCAGACACCTACTCAAATGCAAACCAACATACAATCTTTATCTAAACTTGGCACAAGAATGAGGAAAAAAAAAACAACTAGTCTGCCTATCCCATTCCCCCCTTTACAACTTTCTTCTGTTTGTTTCCAGTTTTCTCAGCAATGAAGGGCAGCATTAAATCTTAAAGAACATGCTCTGTTGTGAAATGTTGGTGCATTATGTGTCCCATGTCAGAAAGCACCATGAAATGCCCTCACATGATGGTTGACTAGGATGCTTCATTTAGGGTGGGGTTAACTCAACCCTGGCTTGTCTCCCGTGGTCCCATCAACTCCTGACCACTTCATTCCTCTCTGTTCCTTACCTAATAGGTCACAGTTTGAGTTTGGTCAATATCTATATTAAATAATTTACCCCTTCTTTATGTGGGATTTCTTAAGCATTAGGGATGTGTGAGTACACATGTGCATACATCCCTTTCTCCCTAAACTAGTTTGGAAGTTCATTTAACACAGAGGATCCTGTTTTTCAAGGTCGTGACAAATATTGAAATATTGCCAGGGATGTTGATCTATCCAAGGAACAAACCTAACTATCTGGGCTTGTTTTCTTCTGCTGTCTGCTTTTACCATTATTACTACTTTAATTAATTTTCAGTCAATATGTCATAAGTTTCTTTAATCATTCACTATTTTCCAGCAGTAAGTATGAGTTGTTTTATGGATATGTGTTATCTCTAAGTTATCCTCTTACAGTGTAGTAGCTTAATTTGAGCATAACTTGAGTGCACTGTGTCTGCCTGCATGGCCAAGACGTATTCAGCATTCTAATTTAATAGTCTTCTCATTAAATTTTTTTAAAACAGTTTCTAGCTCTAGCTGGAATTGTGGTGTCTCAACCCTTATTACAAACACACAAAAGCCCACTGGAATCGCTGATGTATACAGTAAGTTCCGCCCAGTGAAGCGGGTTTCCCCACTGAAACATCAGCCAGAGACTCTGGAGAACAATGAAAATGATGACCAAAAGAACCAGAAAGGAGAGTACCAGAAAGGGAGTGAGTCTGAGCCAGGCCCCCAGCCCGGGGAGCCGGGCCCGGGAGATGGAGTGGGCGGCCCGCCGGGCAAGAGCTCTGAGCCCAGCACTGCACTGGGAGAGCTGGAGCATTACGACCTGGACATGGATGAGATTCTGGATGTGCCTTACATTAAATCCAGTCAACAGCTTTCCTCTTTTACCAAGGTGACTTCAGAGAAACGAATTTTGGGTTTATGCACAACCATCAATGGCCTTTCTGGCAAATCCTCCTCTACTGGAAGTGCTGAGAACTCGCCATCCAACATGACACCCTTTTGTGTTCTTTCTCCCGTGAAAAGCCCTCACTTGAGAAAAGCGTCTGCTGCCGTCCGTGAGCAGCACAAGCTCTCCACTGAAGAATCTGAGAGCTCTCCTCCCCTGGGTCAATGCGGCTCTGTGTATGAGCCTGAAAACCAGAGTAAAGACTTCCTCAGCAAGACCTTTAGTGATCCGCATGGTCGCAAAGTTGAGAAGACCATGGCAGACGGCCAGCTCAGGGCCTTCCACCTGCAGTCCTCAGCAACAGACCCCAAACTGGAAGAGCAGGTCAGTGGCATGAACTGGTCCAGCTCCCAAGGCCCAGAAGAAAGGAGTGAGTATCTGAAAAAAGTAAAAAGCATCTTGAACATCGTTAAAGAAGGACAGATATCTCTCCTAGTAAGTATAATCTAGTTTGGTATACATAGTAATAATCTTGAGACTCCATTTTTATCAGCTCCATTCGTTAGTAACAGAATGATGATGTGTTTGTTTCTGTTCCTGTTTAATCTTTTCTTATGTCTTTAGTTGGGAGATGTGACCTTTTGAATTTTAAAATAAAGTCAGGAGGTCAGTAAAGGGAAAACAAACAGCTATAGAGGTAGTATTACTTCATTTTTAACTTTGTATGATTTCAACTGGAATAAAGACTGTTTAATCTAAAACAAAACCAAAAGAGAGCCCAGCACTTTCTTTAACTTTTCAAATGGTTCCCAATGCTCTCACTCAGTTATTTCAGTGGGACTTTCCGTTCCTTGCTGATGTGGGACCTGCCAGATATGTGAACAGAGGGTCTTCTGTTTTATCCTGATCATTATTCAGAGGAGTCGGACCAGGATGTTTGAGATGCATTTGCAGAAAGAAGCTTAGGCTAGAGCTTGATTGCCCTGTGACCCACGTGAAGTTTTTACTTAGTTCCAACTCTACGTGTCTAGGGAGCATGAAGAAGCTTTTCCAAAGACTCTAGACACACAGTAACATGATGTAAGAAAAGCCTGTTCTGCTTAGGCTCAAAGAGAGCTAAACTGAAATAGCACTGCCTCTGCCTGCATTGTTCTTTTCTGGTTTCTAAACTTGGAACAAACAGTAGCAAGCCGGGGCTCATATAATGATGTTAATTAAAGTCTCTTTCAAGAAAATTATCACATCTTGGCAATGTGCTTCTACTTAGTGTAAAGCCATACGTAGATAAGTACAATGTGCTTTTTCTATTATCACAAATGTTATTGTAATAGAGCAATATGATTGAACAATTTTACCAGATAAAGTAGTAATTTTTTTTTTCCTCCTGAAAATGTCTTTTCCATTTTTTCTGGTTCTTCCCTCCAGTTCTCTTTGGTTCATTCCTTTCTTTGGTCCTTCCGTTGTTTTCATGTTTCCCAAATGCTAACACATCTCAGTTCACGCTATAGTCTTTATCAACTAGTTCATACTCAGGGGAGTAAGCTTCACTGGAGGTGAGAAAACAAAAGGCCAGGTAGCCTTCAGATGCCCCCGGGAGTTTGTTTGAGGACAACAGTGTCTAGAGTTATGAGAGCATTAGTAGCAGCAGTTATCATGTAAGTTTGCAGTTAAAGCCAGTTATCTACAATTCAAAGCAAAGTAAACAGGTTGAGACAAGTAGTTCATTTATCCAACAAACCTAAAACAGCTCCAGCCCTGAAGGACTTCACAGTCCAGTCGTGTAGTCAGACTGATAATTAACTTGCCCATTACAAAAAAAGTCATTGCAATTGTTTAGAAAGCCACCTTGAAGTGTCCAAGTATCCACAGCTCATTGATTCTAGCCCCATTGCCATGTCTCATGTGAAGATCTATCTCTTGAGAACTCATGTTCTAAAGCATATAACAAAGAACAATAGCAAAGAATTGTAACTTAATAGATCCCCACAGCTGCCACCAGAGCTTCTGTAATCTCATTTCTTCTTCCCAGTGCCCAGAGAAAACCCCTACAGCATCTTGTTCTGATTTATTGACTTCAGTTTTCTCTTCTTACCATTCATACAGCCACACCTAGCTGCAGACAATCTAGACAAAATTCATGATGAAAATGGGAACAACCTGTTACACATTGCCGCATCAAAGGGACATGCAGAATGTCTGCAGCACCTCACTTCTTTGATGGGAGAAGATTGCCTCAATGAGAGAAACACCGAGAAGTTGACTCCAGCAGGCCTGGCCATCAAGGTGACTGGTTGGAAATGGGCTCTCCATGGTTAAAAGTTGGATCTCTGGGGGTTTTTTTAAGACTCCTTGTGAGCTAAAGTGTTGGAAGGGAAAGGGAGAGTGATTTATCAAGCAAACAGTGTGTCCAAGTATCCACAGCTCATTGATTCTAGCCCCATTGCCGTGTCTCATGTGAAGATCTATCTCTTGAGAACTCATGTTCTAAAGCATATAACAAAGAACAATAGCAAAGAATTGTAACTTAATAGATCCCCACAGCTGCCACCAGAGCTTCTGTAATCTCATTTCTTCTTCCCAGTGCCCAGAGAAAACCCCTACAGCATTTTGTTCTGATTTATTGACTTCAGTTTTCTCTTCTTACCATTCATACAGCCACACCTAGCTGCAGACAATCTAGACAAAATTCATGATGAAAATGGGAACAACCTGTTACACATTGCCGCATCAAAGGGACATGCAGAATGTCTGCAGCACCTCACTTCTTTGATGGGAGAAGATTGCCTCAATGAGAGAAACACCGAGAAGTTGACTCCAGCAGGCCTGGCCATCAAGGTGACTGGTTGGAAATGGGCTCTCCATGGTTAAAAGTTGGATCTCTGGGGGTTTTTTTAAGACTCCTTGTGAGCTAAAGTGTTGGAAGGGAAAGGGAGAGTGATTTATCAAGCAAACAGCAAATGAACATATTACATTGAAGAGATTAATCATTTCAGTCACTAACTACTTAGAGATTTTGAGACTGTGTTCCAATTTATTGTCCAATAAGGGTAAGCTTCAAATCAGCTAATCAAGAGAAAGGAAAATGACCTGTTGCAGCTCTAAGAACTTTTATTCATGGTGACTACAGTTTAGATTCTTAACCACACCTAGATCTATCAGAAACTGTTTCATTTTTTTCCTAGTGTGAGAATAACGATCAAGACAAATGAGGAGGGATGCTAGCACTCAGGAATATTTCAGATAATAAAGTGGGCTTTTAATGGATCACATATGAAGTTTAAATGTCTTCGGTATCAGGAATTGTTTAGAATATCAGTGTCGAGTTTGAGTTTAGCTCTTGCAGAGTACAATATGCTATCTGTCAAAAACTACACAAATTAACGCCAACTGGAACAGAGTTAAAACCTAGATACTGTGGTTCAAGAAAACAGGACTTTTATAGCATTGTAATGAGTGCCTCTGTAAAATATAACACATCTCTAGAAGGTTAGCTATTAAACCAAAATTACTTCTAAGATCTTTGGCAGATAAATGTAGAATTCAGTCATATTTATTAAACAGCCAGAAGTAAAGTTAAGAGAAGTAGAATACATCTTGTGCTTCTGCATATGCAGTTTGCTTTACGTAATAGTGTCTTTTATTTTTTATTTTTATTTATTTATTTATTTTATTAATATTTTTTTACATTCTATGATGTTGCAAAACAGTTGGGAGGGATGGGGAGAGGGGAAAAGGGAAGGAAATGGGATGGAAGAAGGAGGAAGGGGGAGGAGTGGGATTGAGGCCTGTGGTACCCCCCACATTCCCGCAAGGGAGACCACGGGGTTTGGGGAGACCACGGGGCTTCCAGCAGTGGCGTGGTCCTTGCCGGGCTGGGTGCAGATGTCAGGGGATGTGGCAAAAGCCCTCAACTCCTGCCTCCCCAGGTCGGGAACCTGGGGCCCTTCTTTTTTTTTTCCTTTTTTTGTCTTTTTTCATGTCCGGGCAACAGATCACAACCCTCAGTGTCGCGCCCATACCGGACCGGGGACCGGCAACGGGATTGCAACCCTCGGTGCTGCACCCACACCTCGCTCAGCCAGTGAGC